ATAATAATAATAAATAAACATTTATTATTAGATGTGTAGTAATATAGATTAATAATATTATTATTTTTTGATGTGTATAATACATGTATATATTAATCATTAATGTATTAYAGACGTACTATAATATTTTATTTATAGTGTTTATAAATCAACAAATTAGATTAACAATATAAAATATAATTAATCCTAAATGTTGTTTTCAAATTAATTCTTTGTATTTACTATTAGTAGGTACTTTATAGTAATTATAGGTATATTATAATRCACATAGCATAMTATYATAATATCATTATTGTCTCTTTGATTAGTTACTACTGATTGTAATAATATTATGTTCTGTTTTACCATTTCCTGTGTAAACCATCATAAAATATTTTAGATTAATGTTTTTTATAGGTTTATCGTTTGTAGAAGAATATTATATCTTGATATTAAATAATATGGTATAATATGCATCCTGCTTACTCATGCAACGTACAAATCATGACACATCCCAACAAAATGTTTTAAATTATCATTTATCATAAAGAAACACCCCGTATTTATGGYAAAATATAATACCATGTTATTATTTTCATGATCATTTATTCTTACTCTATGAACTATGATTTTTTGATAAATTATTATTATTTCTATTAAATTGGATATTTATTTGTTCTAATTCTTCATTATTTTCAATATTATTATATAATAGAGCCATATAGGGTTAGGTAGTGTTGCAGTTATCAGTCATATATTGATGTATTTTTTAAATAGAGTTATGTAACCAAATTAGATTGTAATCGAAACAGTGAATGTATTGATTTTACAATGATGCTTTGTTTTATTTATAAATTTTCTATTTGCATACGTAATACGTTTTAAACAGAAGTGAAGAATTTAATCTTTAATTTCGATAGTAGTAGTTAGATTGGTAGTTCTATAATAGTAGGTCGCAGTAGCAAGTTGTATCTAGTTGATAATTGGTATTAAATTTAAGTTTCAATAGATCAAAAATGAAAATTCTTAATATACTTTTAAAAAATCACGTTTTAAGTCTCCACTTTAAAGTTTAAATTACAATATAAAAAAAAACTTGATTTTATCGAAAATTTACTAACAAAAGAATTTAAAAGAATTGTTTTCCGTGTGTAATTATTTAGATAGGTACATTGCAGTGACTTACTTAATGACAAGGAATACTCAATATATATAAGTACTGTAGTACTGCAGAGAGGTTATCAACTTTCCCCTATTTTTATATGTCTAAAAACATTTAATTTTGAGTGTGGATCGGATTAAGCAAATTGAATCTAGTTTGTACTTTTGGGAGTTTTAGGAATTCTTTAATTTCTCAATATCTACTTTTTAAAATAGCCTGTAGTAGGTATATCGTATATGTTATACATAATCAAGTTAATTAAAAAAAAAATATAACAATTTAAAATGTCATATATACTCAACATAAGTCAATATATTTTGAATATTTTATGGTGGATAGAAAACGCTATTATAACAAACATTCAGTGAAAAATGCACGTCTCCGGTCATTTGTTTAAGAGRACGTTACACCCGCATGTGTTGTCTCCGTCTTACAAGTGCGTAACATCGCAAAAACAAGCCAAAAAYTGTTTCACGCGGGAAAGAACCGAGAAAGCTACAGTTATAACTAAGAAACAAAATTTTCACCACATAAAAAGGAGAATTWTGTCTGTGCAATTACATACATTAATTTTGTGTTTTTTAAGTATGAATAACTTTTTTTGTAGTTCTGATATCGAAAAAATAAAAACGATATTACACAGACAAAATTCTCCTTTTTATGTGGTGAAAATTTCGTTTCTTAGTTATACTTATAACTGTAGCTTTCTGATTTATCTGAGGTTCTGTCACTGGACAGTCTCCTCTTCATGTGTGACATGTCTTCTTTAAATCACTCATCATTGTTACTTATTGTTTTATGTGTAAACAGATTGTAATATATT